TTAAGAGGAGTCTTCTGAATTTGATCAGATGAGCAAGATGAGTGAGGGGATTAAAAGCATGTTTTTTTCATCCAGAAGCATATTTTTAGGTCTCAGTTTATTGGGCTGAAGAAGTAGATGGGAGGACAAAATAAAGACTAATGTGGTAGGGAGATCAAGGATTCCTACTTCTTCCCCCACCCCCTACCCTTCCTCCTTACTGTGTATTTGCAAAGATATCTTTCTTGAAGACATTGTCCCTGGAGATGAAAGCCTCTTTTATTGCTGGCATCTGATCATCTTACCTACTCTTCTGGATCTGGATAACTACTCTCTGCTCCAAGACTTTATGCAGAGGTTAACATGATGCTTACTTTGTTCAAGTCCTGTTACAGAAAACACTCTCCAGCTCTCTCCTCTGCTGGGTGGAGCTGAATGTTGTGTTAAATCCATGGGGGACTAGAGATAACATTGTAATTTTTAACATAGAGGACCTGCTATGAGATGTGAAACTCTGGAGAAGTTAGTACAGATACAGGTAGAAGGCAGTCATTCAAAACGGGCAACAGTTTTACAACTCCAGCTACAGGTTCCTGTTGCTACATGATCTTAATCATGTAGGATGATCTGAAGTGTTATTTAGCTACCTACTCTTCTTTCTCCTGACCAGATTTCTAGTCTGTTGGACAGGATGCCATTGCTGATGCTAACATGAACTATAATTCCTAATCCTGTGGTTCTGATTTAATCTAATTGCTCCCTAACCTGGCTCTACAAAAATGATCCTGGCTCCAACTGGAAGCTTGCCATTAAATGGAGCACAGAATCGCGGGGGTGGTTATCTGCAAGCAGGCAATAAGCAGTTGTAGGAGCTTTGAGAACTGCTTACTTTGGTGGAGCAGCCTCTGAGGTTCATTTGTTTGTGCCCTTATCTGCTCAAGCATGTTGGAAAAGGGGAGTTTCCAAGGAGTTTATCTGCAGCTGAGGTGAGGAGTGATCTATAGCATGGTGGTTAGACAACGCTCCCGCCCTTATGAGTGAAGGTATGGCAGTACGTTGTTGAGCCAGTTAAGCTTTCACTTCCCTTCCAACTTGTTGGACTACACAAAGAACTGTTCAAAAATAAATTTTCATATATGTCATCAGCTGTATTGCTGCGATGGGGATTACCAGTGGGTGTGGTAAAAAGCTGACCTGTGTAAATGGATAATACAGCTATTGATAACACCCTGCTTGGCTCTGTGTCAGTCTCTCTGCTGTAGATTGACGTAGGATTCTACTGCAGGATGAGCCTGTGCTTATCTTCTGACCCCCGATTTAGCACTGTGAAGATTAAAAAAAAAAAAAAATTACAGTACACATAATATGAAAGTATGCTTTTTTTGAGCTTCATACAACAGGGTTGTTGCCACAGTCTATGTCAGTTTTATTATAGTTATAAAGTAGGACAATTCAGAAACTAGATATGACCCAAATTAATACTTATGAAAATAAATTGGGCTACATAAATTAAGGGTAGAACTTACTTTGCATGAAACTTCATCTCAGGTGCTTTACTGTTGCAATTGGAATCTGTGTTCCTCTTTGCTTTTGAAAGCAGACTGAAACAGGTAGAGGTATGTGGCAGTAGCTTAAAACGTATAATTTTCAAGGTCTTTCTCCTGTCTGGCAGAATACTTGCTCTGAAGCAGTCTGTACGGATTGAGTGTATCAGACTGTACTTGCTTTTTTGTAACTTATCTCTTTGCACATTGTCTGCCATTCAGCAGGCCTGAATTTTGCCAGCATTATATCTTCATTGGATTGTGAAGAACTTGAGAGCAAACTGACCTCCCTGAGCCTCCTCCCACTACAAAATGTGGCAGAGTATTTATGACAAGCGTATCTTTAAGATTTGAAGTCTGTGGTAGTGTGACCTTTTGCTGTCTTCAGTATGTTACTGGAATGTTGTTCACTGACAGTTACTGATGACTTGATGACTCAGGATACTGCTTAGACTGGTTGGGTCAGGTTTTTTTAATTCCCAGTTTGTTTGTTTGAAAGGATGTTATCAAGGCTTCTGAAAATGATTGGCTGCCATAAAATCTTTCTGGTTAAAGAATTTTCAGTGAAAAGAGGTATTGTCACTAACTTAATTATTTATAAGGATCTTACTGGTTGAACATCATTGTTTAGGCTTTTCAAGTATGTGTCAACTGTTGCACACAATACAAAAAGTGGCAGCTTCTTTTTGTCACACTGGGACACTACTTGTTGAATTGCAAGTTCTAGTAAAATAGGACTTTTCACATTGCTCAATCTACTTGACTGTAGGTTAATTTACAACAAATATTACAGTGAAACATTACTATGTGTATTTGAATATTTTCAGTGTATAGTATTGATTTTGCACAAACTCACCTGTCAGAGGTCCTGCCAAATTCGTTGGGACTTCTTCCGGTATGGAAGTGCTTCTAGAAGAATAGTCTGTTCTGTTGCTTAGTAAGGCTAGTGTAGGCCTTACCCAGGTATACTAGTGCTTCAGTTTCTCTGCTTCTGAGAGTATGTATTGTAATCTAAACTTGGCAAACTGAGCTTTTGTCAGTTGATGACTGGAATTCAGAGGAATTTTCTTTATATTTGTCTCAAATACATACTAAAAAGAAGTAAGCATGACTTTCAGGGTACATTTTTCCTTTTAAGAGAAAAGTGCAAAGACAAAATAATGTGTAGTGCAAAATGCAGTGTAGTAGGTTGAAAATGTACACATGGCTTGGAGCTATTTTCATGTTCTTGTACTCCCTCTTGAGTAAAAAGAAAGCAGTGGTTCTTTTTAAGCCATGATGGCCACAACTGTAATGTTCTCATCCATCTCCTTCTTAAAAGAACTTGCAACGTAATGTTAGTTATGTTTCTCTGCTATATCTCTATAATTAGTACAGCAGCTTACTCATGCTTATTTCACTTAGATAATCTTTCTGACAAAAACAGTTTAAGCAACTTAATTTTCAATTGCATTTTCAAAATTCTTGGATAGTAGAATGGGTAGTGGTACTGATGTGGGCTGGAGAGTTTTTCCACATAGTCTGTGGGTTACCTTTGGTAGGCAGCTAAGCACCACACAGCTGCCTTCTCACTTCCCCCCCTTGCCTTGGATGGGGGAGAGGATTGGAAAAGTGAAAGTAGGAAAACTTGTGGGTTGAGATGATGACAACAAGTTTAAAAAAAAAAGAAAAAAATGAGAAAAACAAGTGATGGTGGGAGGGAGAGGGGAAAATTTGCTTGCCATTAGCTGACCAGTGCCCGGCCAGTCCCCTGAGCAACGGCAGCCCTGGCAAACTTCCTTGCCAGCTTTTATTGCTAAGCTATGGCATGGGATATCCCTTTGGTCAGCTGTCCCACCCCCAGCCTACTCGCTGGCAGGGCAGCGTGAGAACCAGAAAAGGCCTTGACACTGTGCAAGCACTGTTCAGCAATAGCTAAAACATCTGTGTGTTATCATCACTGTTTTCATCACAAATCCAAACATGGCACTACACCAGCTATTCTGAAGAAAATTAACTCTATCCCAGCCAAAACCACTACACCTTTTTATTTATTTTTTAATTCCAGGAAGGATTGGCTTAATCTCTAATGAAGCTTCAGTCAACATGCTGTTACGCTTAACTGGCTCACTGCTAATGAAGTCTTAGTGCACGTCCTCAACTAGGGATTTTGATATAAGTTTTAATAAAATTGTCATGCTTCACTAAGCTGCACACAAAGGTGATTCATTATGCAGGAGGATGTCATTTTAGTGTGAGATTGTCAAATGATCATGATGGGTAAAGGTAATGAGGTAGTGGTGTCTTGTTACTATGCTGTATTATTACCCGATAGTTGCAATAACTAAACTGTGCTGCCATGTGAATGTGCTCTTTTTGAGCTTTCTAATTAACAAAATCTAAGTTACATTTGGTTCTTCGTTGCTACTATAGATGTCTCTTGCGTTTGTCTTCTGTAATGTAGATGTCATTGTGTTTTTTGGACATCAGAGCTTGTTTTGACCTTAAATCTCTGGAGGAGGGTACATTCTGTCACAGTGCAGTGACTTTCCCACGTCTTAAGAACTGTGCAAGCAGACAAAATATTCTGTCTTCATATAACACAAATACCATGATACTACTGTTGGGATAGGTAGGGAATGAAATGAAGCTGTGGGAAGATAGTAGTTGGAGATCTGCTAAAACTATAACATGATTTTGGAAAAAAAAAAAGCTAATGGGATTGTTATTTTTTGCACATGTGCACATGCACATTAGACTGTATGTGAATTAACTGTCATAGAGCCCTTTGGTATTGGCGAGGTGCAGAGACTTATGTTTGAGCAAGCAGTTGTAGGACTGAGACAACTATTCCAAATATACAGAATAAGGGCATTTATAGCCTGGGAAGGCAAGTTGAATCTTTCCACTCTGTGTAAACTAGATTATTCTTTCAGTTCCTGATTGACTTACTGAAACTGGGTATTTTTAGGTTTTAAGTGACACATTTGCTTGCTTTTTGCTGAAAAAGTACACTAGCTAATCCTTGCTGCTGATGCTGTGTCTTGGTGCTTGCTATTTAAGCTGGAAATTCCTTCAAATGTCTGTTTTTTCCCCTGCATCTGTTATATCTCAGGTCTTCTTGTATGGTGTTGACTCACTGTGGCTTCCTTTTTCAATTCTTGATTAGTAAACTAACAAGAATTCTTGACAAATGCTGTGTCTCTAAAAGAAACCACTACATACCAAAATGTATGTCTTTTCCCTTAATTGCTCTTGGATGCTGTGAACTCACTTGTGCCCTTTCCAAATGGTGAAGGCTTTCTTCGCTCATGCTACAAAAAATAAGAGCTCAGTATAATTTGTGGAATGGCTTCCAGTGAAAAAGCAGACAGCTTTCACTGAAGATAGCAGAACTGAAATTAAGTCATTAGATATGTAGGGATGTAAAACAAATCCACTTTAAACAGTGCATGTGAGAGAAGGCAAAGAAAACTAATGAAGCAATATTTTTCTTCTAGATTTTTCATTTTACACCTGTGAACTTTCTGCAATCCAAAGATGGCAGCAAATAAGCCTAAAGGACAGAATTCATTGGCTTTACACAAAGTCATCATGGTGGGAAGTGGTGGTGTAGGAAAATCTGCTTTAACACTACAGTTTATGTATGATGAGGTAAGAATCTGCACTAAAAACTGTCTCAGGAGATGTCTGCTACATAGTGTTAGTTAAGCATTCATTAGTACAGTTATTTTCTGAAAAGATCTAAATGTGTATGAAGTGGTATGAAAGTCAGCAATTAAATTGAACAAAAATATTTTTTTAAGATTAGTGATTTACTCTCTGGAGATACCTGTGAACATATAATTTGGCATTTTTTCAGACTTCTAAGCAATTAGATGCTCTGTCATATTATTGGTATATTCTGTCATAGTTCACTAGACCTAGTAGAACTTATTTAGGTGTTATAGCTCAAAGCTGCTTCACTTAGGTGAGTTGCATGATGCCTGAAATGATGACCAATTTTTTTCCTGTTTTTTATGCTGCTGTTGAAGATAGGGAAGAAAATACGTTTCCTGTTTCCTTACTTTTTTCCAGTGAAAGTAATTCTTTTTGATTAAAAGGTAGAAGTCATGGCTTCAGTGTTATTTAAAAATTTATACTAAATATATTCAAAGTCAGGACTGCCTGATAGCATAATGGAACGCAGCCCAGATGCTGTGCTTGACCAGAAGCAGAGGCTTGGGTAGTGCACAGATGTTGATGTTTTGCAGTTGCCTCTAAAATTTCCTTTTGATGGCTGAAGAAAGCAAAAACCTATAAACTGTTTGGGCTGATGGAGAGCCTGCTTTGACTATGAATCATTTGAGTCTTCACATAGCCTAAATACGTATGCTTACTGATTAGCTACTGTAGCCGTATAAGATGTTTGTCATATCCTTGTATGCAAATAGAAGCATTTGTCTTGTACAGGCATGATTTTATACATGAAGGTGGCTTTTTTTCTAGTTTGTTGAAGATTATGAGCCCACCAAAGCAGACAGCTACAGGAAAAAGGTGGTTCTGGATGGGGAAGAAGTCCAAATTGATATATTGGACACAGCAGGGCAGGAGGACTATGCTGCAATTAGAGACAACTACTTCCGAAGTGGAGAAGGCTTTCTTTGCGTCTTCTCTATTACAGAGCTGGAATCCTTTGCAGCAACTGCAGACTTCAGGTAAGTTACAAGGCAAGATAATTATTCTAATTACAGTGAGATAATTACAAGTGATTTTTTTGTTTTTGTTTTGTAATATCCTTATGATAGTCTAGATGACAGCTCTTACTGTAGTCATATAACATTTTGAACAGATGCTTAGCCATGCCTTTGCTATCTGTACCACTTTGGTTATCTTCACTGCTGTGTTCCTGAATACCAAAAAGGCTATTGCCACAGAGCAGATACGTAGCACCGTTCAGAAGGATTCTGCCCTTTGTAAATCAGTGTTACTTGGCACTTGTGCTAAGAAGCAGTATTTGTGAGCTATCCAAAGTAATAGACCTGAGAAAAATCACTTATATACTGTATGGTTGCGTGTAATGTATGTATGATACCGCACACTCGCCAGAGTTGTCTTTTTTAGTTCTTGCTTCATATAGAGTATTATGTTGTGTTTCTCTCAGCCTGTGAAACACCACCTGGAACAAAAGGGCAGCTGTAGCATGTCCAGCTGTTTTATGCTAGAATACTTCATAGTTATAAACTGCGCAGGAGAACCACATCTTGTCATGTCTGTCTGCAAAGTCTTAGGCGATGTGAAGTATGCGCGTTGTATTCTGGGAGAGTGAAATGCTACTGTATCAACAACAAATCTTTCTACCTCTTAAAGATGGTTTTATGAACAACAGTGATGAGAAGTATCTTTAAATATTCTGTAGTAGCTATGCATTTTGTGTAAAGGCGTGCTGTAAATCTGTCCCTTCAGTTTTGCTTGGATGGAATTTTTCTCTGTAAAAGATACTGTTGTAATTTCTTCAATTTACAAGACAAAAGTTCTGCATAGAGTTCTGCATAGCATTCACCCTTCCCATCAAAGTCAGTATTTTACTTCGTAGGGAGCAACATGGTAAAAAGAAAATTTGGGACTGGATCTTTCTGGTGTAGTAAAGATTTACCAGGACAGGGTTTTTTAAGATGCTTTTCAGGCATGCAGCACATTAAAACCATTGTAATGGTAAGAGACTATGAAACAGGCAGCAGTACATTACAGGTGTTTAATTTTGGTTGAGAGATAAAGCCTATTTAAATCACTCATTGCTGTATTAAAAAAAAGACAAAAGAGAACAGAAAAAAAGTTACCAGTTCAAAGTGTAGTGAAATAAGAGAGCAGAACACCTTTGAGATAAAAGTAAAGAAACAAACATAAAAAGCAATTATTGCATCCCACTGAAATAAGGCTTTTCAGAGATGCTGTCACAGTTCAACTTAATTAGCACAAAGTATCAGAATATGTTTAATATCTCTGAGGGAGAAGAAAGAGGTATGGAGAGGGGAGAAAGTGAGTTTTTCCCCTTCTGGTGTTCTTTTTTTTTATTTGTGTGTCTATGTATATATTTTGAGAGGGAGGGAGGGGCGGGCCTTGATTGATTTGCAGGCTTATGTTAGGTATTGTCAGTCCTGGAGGACTATTTAGTATAGTTGAGCTTGTCTAGAGTGCAAAATGACCTATTCAAATCTGTTTAAAATCCTGTTAATGCTTCAAAGTATATGATCTTCTGTGGTTCTAGAGGAAGTCCTACTTTTCCAGCAAAGGTGAGTGTTGACAATATGCATGCTGAAACAGCAAAAATGGAAGAAAAAAATCCCTTCAGTGAGGAGACTAAAACTCTCCCCAAGCTGAATCTGAAAGTGCCTTTCAAGTTGCCTTTGAAACTGGAGAAGCCTAAATGCTAAAATGTAACTCAGAAAAATTGCATTCTTTCTGCTCTGTGTACAAGTAACCTGTATCTCTTGAAGATAGTGTTAAAATATCTTTGGCATTGTTGAGCAGCCTGAGGGAATACTACTTAAGAGACAGATAGGAAAGTAAGTGACAAGAAGAATTTGGATGTTTGATTGTTTCCATGGGATTTTGCTCTGCTGGAATGGCAGGCTCCAACAGGAGAGCTGTTTACTGCTATTCAATGTCTTCGATGGAGTTTCTGGTGTGCTCTGAAATGCCATTGCTCCAAGTAATTTTTTTTTTTTTTTCCCCAAGAGAAAGCAGGCCTGCAATGACTAAACTTTCAAATATTTGAAAGGCAGTTTGATAAAATGTGGTCTTGCTTTAGGTAGAATTAGCCTGGCTGTAATGACTTCTTTAAGTTCTAGATTTCAAGCTGGCATATCATTAATTAGACTCCTTGTTTAGGAGATATCAGTCTTCAGAGAGGGCTCAAAGGAGAATATTGTCATCTGGATTGCTGTTAGATTAACTCTTTGCATGGTGAAATTGTTTGGCATCACCTGAACAATTAGTGTTGAAAGCTACTAGTTTTTAGCAGATGTCTTATTTGCACAGATACTGCAGCGACACACTGAATTTTTTTCTGGCCACCCATTCTAATCCACTGACTATTCAAACTACTTTTGGGTAGCTGCAGACCCTTTTAAACCATTTGCACTGATATTTGTGAGAGAGAGGAGAAATGTTGCTTTAATTACACCTCAGAGATGAATGCGGTCTTACAAGCTGCCTCAAATACATATTTGTTGGTTTTAAAAAAGTTTGTGGGCTATCTGCAGTTTCTCAGCCCATGAGTAGACTTCCTGCACAAGACGGCATGCTATTCAGAGCTTTTTATAATAGTAGGAGGATCCTGCCATATACCAAATCAAGGCCCTTTAGAATAGCAATTAATTAAATCTGGCAATAGGTTTCACCTCAGCCAGCAAAAGGAATTTGTTTCTCTGTGCTTTTTGTCAATTTTTCAGAAATTGCTCCACGATAAAGGGCTACATTTCGCTACTAACTTTATACTCCTTTTTGAGACAAAATAGAGAATATCCCTCTTCTGGGAAAACTGTTGTTCCTGGTACTTTTAATGTATTTCCAGTTAGAAGAAAACTTTGATTTTTTTTTTTCAGTGTTGAAGACTTATGTACCAAACCATTTGTAGTACTGAATTTTATTTACAACTTCAAACCCTTCAACCTAGCAGTTCAAACAGTAGAAGGGTCTGTCCTTAAAAATCTGATGCATGTACATCTTGTATCTGTACACTGGCTTATAACTGAATGAAGATCTCTGCAGAGACTGAATATATTTGACTTCAGAAAGATTCCTGAAAGGAAGTAATTTTTCTCTTGGTATGCTGTAGACCATTTTATCAGCTTCAAAAATGGCACATGCATTTTATTAGGGAAAAAATTGAGTGTAAAACTGATGTTTGGGTAGCTTAAAAATGGCAATCACAAATACTAATATAAAGGCAATGGTAAATGCTCTCAAGTAACACCTTTAGTAAAAGGAATGACATATTAATATATAAATTCTCACCTAAACCAATCCTGTTCTACTGTTTTATCACCTCCTTCCTTCCTGGAGGACTAGTTGTCTGTCTCTGTCTTCATTCTGTATAATGTCATAATGAGGTTTAAGATTTTACTGTTACATAAGCTTCATAAAAGGAATAAGTGGGTTTTCACTGTAAGATGGAAGAGTATTTAGTCTGAGTTCTTTTTGTGTTCTAAGAATAGTACTCCATGCAATGCTTAATTCTTTTCCTTTTTTTCCTTCAGGGAGCAGATCTTAAGAGTAAAAGAAGATGAGAATGTTCCTTTTTTGCTAGTTGGTAACAAATCAGATTTGGAAGATAAAAGGCAAGTTTCTGTAGAGGAAGCAAAAAACAGAGCTGATCAGTGGAATGTTAATTATGTGGAAACTTCGGCAAAAACACGAGCTAATGTTGACAAGGTAATAACTGGCCTCTTAATACAAAGAATATCTCCATCATATTTTACTTTATACCTCTTTTCCATGGGTCATACTCTGTATGTTCATTATTTTACCAATTTTTTTGGTGAAATTTAAATCAAATACTTTTCTCCCTTAGCTTGCGATGAGTGCATGACTAGGTCACTTCATGTAGAACAGTGAAAATGTTAGGCATAACAAGTTTATCCCATCCTAAACTGCAAGGAGTCATTATACAAGACATTATACAAGACCTTACTTCATTAAAAATTTCTTGAGGCAGCTATTCTGGCCTAGACTTCTTACTGCGTTTTCTATAACTAGAAGACAGTCTGCTTCTGAACAGTGAAGAATGCTGTCTGATCCTCAGCCAGAATAAAACAGCTTACAAAAGTAGGGGGGGAGTGGGATTGGAGTCCTTTCTACCCTCATCTAACCAGATGCCTGGTTGTATGTTGCTTCAGTGAAGAATGATTGAACCCTTTTAAGCTTTGAACTGCCTAGAAGTGCCTCATGAGTTTTCAGGGATAAAACCTGGTTCAGAAGGTCATAAGATAAGAGACAGAGAATCTTTGTCTCCAAGAAGATAAATTGTTGATTAGTTCTAAGTATTTCACTATAACTTTAAAACACAGGACTTCTTGGAATACAGAATTCAGAATAACGCTCAGCCTTGTAGACTGCAAGAGTAACAGATGTGTAGCAAAAGAAGTAGTTTAGTTCAATGTGCCATCCTTTCCTTTCAGAGCTATTGACAGACTTGATCACACATTGAAAAATTCTCTAATGTAAATCCTTACGTATGAGCTGTCAATTGCAGCATGACAGCTGTAATATGAGTTCTGTTTTACAATAACTTAAACTTGACTATTGTCTTCTGTCAGTTGTCTTCCTGAAGAAATTGATTGTTCAATACTACAGTAAGAACTTTATGCTGTTCTGCAGAGAAAAGTCAGTTAAATGTAGCAGAACTCAGTCTCACTGCTGAATACAGTTTTGATTTTTTTGTTGTTATTATAAAAACTAGTACATCTTCTAGTTTTAGTGCATGATTGCAGTTAACATCCATCTGTTACAGTCATGCAGAAATTTCCAGCTCTTCAGAATCTACCTCACCATCCTTTAGCAGCTGGGAAAAAAAGTATGTGTGTGTGTATTTTTTTTTTTAATAGCTCTCTAATCAAGAGCTGCTGTGCACATGTGGTAGGTACTACAGATCTCCAAGTTTCTTTTTGGAGCTGTTGGCATTATGGATACAGATTAGCGTGTTTCATATAGAATTAAGGTTTGATAGTACACAAATGAGGCTGCTTTGGCACTAGTAAATACCAGGTATTCTTAGTTACTTAGAGCATCTGAAGTTATGAGGTTTGTTATATGAACTTAAGTTACTATTCTATAAGAAATGTGGCTTCTCTGAATTCCAGAATAGGGGGTTTGCTCAGCTGGGGAAAACACAGTTGGCTTCCACTCACTTTGGTAAAGGTGACCCACTAAGTTATCTTTTCAGAAGGTTACGTACCCCAGGCAGCTAAATACTGTAGTACAGTATCAGCACTTAAGCAAGTTGACAGTTGCATCATACCATTTGCACAGACTGAAGTACATGCAAGTACCCTAGTGCACATTTAGAAATCTAAAGGCAATCTTATTTCTTGATGAAAATGTTTAGTTACATTGATTTTCCTTGAATCCTGTGTAATGAAGGTTGATGTTTTTGCTGCGGTCAATACAAGATTAGTGTCACTGCAAATAAAAACCTACTGAGCTCTGTAGAGGAGGTTTTCAGCCCCTGCACTGTCCATGTTTCACAGAAATGGATCAAGTCCCCTGATAGATCTAGAGAACATCTCCTGAGAGAGGAAAGTGTTAGAAATGCTCAACTGATTTGCTACAATAAAATTATAAAGATGAAATGATTATTCACTGTAGCATCCTGCAAGTCAAGTCAAGATCTGCTTTTCAAATGAGCAAAGTAGCTTTAAGCAGTCCAATCATAAAGCCTTAAGTGACAGTAGGATCTCTCTTAAACAAGTCATTGGTGTACCTCCACCTTTCTCATTTTTGTTTCCTACTAAACCACTTGATGAAAATGAAGTTCATATGTACTTTGAGATTGCAATATGGCAGTTGAGAATACCTGATCTAAAAGATTGTTTATGCAGCTGTGTGATTGATAACTTTGCTTTAAAGGAAATGCTGATTCCTCCACCCCCATGTCACTTTGTGTTTAGACTTGCATCATGGGACATACTGACCATGAAATGTTCAGTGTATACTACTGTTCCATTAATACATTTCTAGAATTGGATGTTGCACTTCTCCAGCCTTTACAGCTCATCACTTGAAAATATTCAAAACGTAAACTGATTTCCTTGAGTCTCCTCAATAAGATGTAGATAATACATTTAAAAAAAATCTTGACCAGTGATGAGATTCTTGTTTCAATCCTTGTGGAAAATTGTCTGGCAGGATTCATAAGCAAATATCAGAAGACAGGGGAACATTATGGTACAATGAAAGATGCAGGATTGCATCATATCAACTTGGCCTTCAAAACCAGTGAAAGATGTATTAGATGATTATTTGTTTGCTCAAACTGGTTGCATGTAATTGACTTTATTCTAACCAACTGAAATGGATATCAGTGAAAGCTTAAATTAACTTACATGTTTGTGACCTCTTTTTGCATTTACATTATTACATCTTTTTTTTCAGGTGTTTTTTGATTTAATGAGAGAAATTAGAGCCAGAAAAATGGAAGACAGCAAAGAAAAGAATGGGAAGAAGAAAAGAAAAAGCCTAGCTAAAAGGATCAGAGAAAGATGTTGCATTTTATAATCAAAACCCTGAATTCCTTTCCTACCCTGACCATACTAATAAAAACCATAATTTATAAGCATGCCATTGAAGGCTCAAGTGACTGAAATTACTCTAACATGTTGGAAATTGTAATGTACCACTAAAAGCATGAATTGGAGCTGCACTGAAAGTCAAATTCACTGAAAAAAAAAAAAATGATGTGGCTTCAAGAGAAGCAAAGTTCAGTCCATTTCATAATTGCCTACCTTCTCACATTTCTTCTGAATGTAGTGTTTCATAGGCAGTCTTTAATAGTGAACAGAGGGGGGAAGTATGACTTTGTGGGTTCTTGTAAAGTATACTTTTTTATCACTGGTAATTGTCAATTCATCTTGTCTTTTGTTGCCTTGAAAATTACAATTGTGAATGTGATACCTAACAAAGTGGTATGCAGTTGTTTTGCCATGGAGTTATGCAAATCAGAAAAGAATAATGTATATGGGAACAGTTATGTTGGGGAAAATTATATGTGGTTCTGCATCACCTGATTAACCTAGAAGAGTGATGTAATCTTTTACATTGAAACATCTGAATATGCCTTAATTTTAAAACCTAAACATAGCAGGTTGCTTAATCAAGAGTGTATTTTCAACTTTGTTGCATGGAGACTGTCCCTGCGCATCAGTGGGAGACTGCCCTCTCTGTGGAGGGCAGTTATGTGAATGATTTCGCTAACTAGCTGTCTGCTAGCAGTGTCTGTTCTTTAAATGTGTGCCATACTCTGGTATTGTGAATAATACAGAGCATACTCTGTCATCTGTAACTTGGTAAACAATATGGTATCTTAAAAGAAAAAGGTCAGAATACATATAAGACTGAAATCATAAGCCTATGGCATGTCTAAGCCTGGAATAGTTGTTTAAAACTTAATGTGTTGATACCTTGAAACTTCCCTTTTGCAAGTAGATTTTTGTCTAGATGTTCCTTGGGTTTTAACTCCCTGGAGTTGGGTGGAGTGGAGCTGATTCAGTAGTGCTAATGTGTTTTGAGTTAAGATGTTGTCCAGGAAATTCTGGTGTCATCAGTTAATTTCTTCTGTGTTCCTAATACTCAGCTATGGGAACATGGTGTGTTATGCTGAAGCTCTTTGCAGGTTTTGTACTGTTTAGTCTAGTTTATGTTGATTTTCAAATGGGGAACATTGTAGCTACTTTTTCTAGTTAATGTTGATATTAAACAATCAAACATGCTTTACGATACAGAAACATTTACCATGTGCATCCAAAATCCCCAAACAAAACATAACTGCCTCAGTTGCTTCAGAACAGCAAGAATACTAGCACACGGTTGGTATGCTGCATCTTAACTAAAACTATACCAGAATGTTTGAGGGTTTTTGACTTCTCTGGGGTAAGACGGACTAGGTCAATTCCACAAACTGTTACACTTTTTATACATGTGTAAGCTTATAACTGACAGTTTAAAATGTGCTCAAGCAAACTAGGTAACAAATATTTAACTTCCATGCTAACAGACATTTTAGGGACTCAAGTCTCAGAAGTTATATTTGTCATGTTAAATATTTATCAGTAGGAATTTTGTATGTGCATTTAGTAGACTGCCAAGTGCAGAATTAAAGTTACTCACGTAACTATGGCAAATAAGCCAGTCTTCATCTTACTGTGTACTCATGTGGGTCTATTTAGGCAGGGAGTCTAACCACTAACATTGTGACTTTGCTTTGGAACCTGTATACTGGGAACTGAGGTGTTATGAAGCCACTGGACACATGAAACTTGTCTTGGCTGATGCCTTATTCTGTCCTTTTATTTGCTATTTGAGCCATTGAAAGATGAATAAACTTCCATTTTTTTTAAATACTTGTGCAGTGTTAATTGATAACTATATTATTGATAAACTTTGCTATAGTTGATGTCAGTTGTCGAGCAGTTAAACCTAAATAATCCATAAGCCTTTTTCGTGTGTGTGAACAAAATTGTAAATTAAACCTAATTAGTCTGATAAAAAGCCACTTTGTAAAAGCTGAGACTATGCATGTGCTACCTTTTATCCAGAGCTAATTTATCCCTTTGCTGTAACAAAGAATATCAGAAAATGGGCAAACAAACTGAGGTAAGCTTGTTGCAGAAGTATTCTTCCATAAGAATGGAAAGTGAGATTTAAGAAACAACCAACCAACCTATGTAAGTTTTAGATAATAATAAAATAAAAATGCATTCTACGTCATTTAGCACACTCAGGGAGAACATAAGTGTGCTTCCACAACCTGCAGGGAATATAGCTTGAATTGTGTGTATAGGATTTGGGTGCATCTTGAGAGAGTCATCCAAATCAAGTGATACATTTGCATCAGAGGAGTGTTTGGTTTAGGCTACTTCTCTGTCTGAAATTCATAGATGTATCTGCTCAGAGTGCTTCTGTGCCAGAGTGCACTTTTCCTCCCCTCTTTCTCCTCCAAGAAGTTGAAGATGCTTTCTTACCTTGGCAGGATCAAAGCCTTCCATGGTATTTCCCTCCAAGTTAGCCTAACGCGCTGGCAGTGCTGTTGCTACCTTTTGTGAAATGCATTGCATTGTAAAATTGCAGACCAGAGACAGACGCCTTAATTTATAACAAGCTATAAAGTCCAGTCTTCCGTGACATATGAAACTAATATTGAATTCTTATGCTAACTCCCTTTTTTCTATAGCTTTTTGTAGCTTGAAAAACTCAATTGACTTTCAAAAACGTTGGCTAAGAAATCTGTGGTCTATTTGGCAGTTACTGTAGCCTCCTGATGAGAATACAATAGCTTAACAGTACTTGCACCCAGCAGCTTGCTTTGACTATTCTGAAGCAGCATCTCGGTGTGCAGGAGGTGCTTTCCCATTCAGAGAGACCTTGTTAACATCAGAGTAGCATGCAGAATAACCCCTCCGGCAATTCCCGTGGCAAGCATAATGCAGTAAAGTATACTCCATATCTGAGCCTTATGCTCACTGTATTCATCTGTAGGAGCCAAATATTGTATCTGTTACTATGTGAAATGGGCATGCTGAAAATCTTGGGTTCATTTTTGGGACACCAAGCTTTGCAATGATTCTCTGGTTCCAGAGTCTTAGGGGGGGGATGGTCCCTACATAATTAGAGTCCAATGCAAAATGCAGAGCAGCAGAGACACAGCAAGTATTACATGAATGTATATGATACATTTAGCTGTACCAGAGCTGGATGAGAAGGTAGGATTGAGCCTACAACAGTTGAGAATTGAATAGGGAAAGCTAATAGTGCACCTTAATTTCTAAACTTTCTCCCATTATTTGGATGTGTTGGCTCCTCTAGCCACGTGGGTGCATAGATAGTCATGTGTGTAAACTATATTTCTTTCCAGCTTTGCTCTTGCCAATTTTTGGCTGTGATTCTAACTTTAATAAATGACTGGGTATGTTTTTAAGAGATGACTCAGGCAAGAAACCTCTCCTTGCATATTTTTGTGGGAGCTTCAGCTTGTTACTAAAATTGAATAGTAGGAAAGGTGCCAATGTTGCTAATACAGGAGTGTAAGATAATCTTTGATCTAAATACATTGACCAGACTGGAATATTTTTGGTTGAAGCTTCATTGTCAAAGGAATGCTGAAATGCATACCACTTGAGATCTGCCCAGGATCAGGCAGATGCCAAGACTCTTCTCATTTTCAAAGAGATCCTGGCTAACCAGCTATCTAACTGGTACAATCCATTTTGGGCAAATATTCAGAAGATATAATTTGGTTTGTGTGTGCTGGGGTCTTTTTCTTCTACCTTTTTTTCTTCCACACAGAATGGAAAAATACCAAAGCTTCAGTTGTTGGAAAAATTGATTTGCCTCCACCATCCTCTTGATCAATATTGCACTCAGTAATATTTAACTCTCCCAGAGCACTCAATATGTGATACCTGTTGTTTGTGGATTTCAGTGGGACAGTTCCAATTTTATGGAAGACTGTTCTGTCTTATAGATGAACACAACAGCGGCAGAATTTAGCCAGCTGACTCAGTGGGCCAGTCGCAGTGTTAGCACTCCCATTTTACTCTGATGCCTCATTCTGCCTCATGCAAGGCAATTGCTGACTTTCTTTACTGATCTGGTAGGACTGTGAAAATGTACACATACCCGAAAGCAGTCAAGTTGGGAGAATCTGAAAACCTGAGTGCTTAGGTTCCAAACCATGGCATCCAATTCTGCTTTTCAACTTTCACAAGAACATCCCCTACCAATGGACTCCATGTTGAAGTGTTAAAAACTGAGGTCCTGTCTGCACCCCAATACATGGAAACACATGAGTCTGAAAATGACTGTGTTACGCTGTTCTTTACAGGATTTTTATTCTCCTCCTGCTTTCCACAGTCGCTTCAGGCTGTTAGCTACCACTCTCCTATTCAAAGCAAGTTTGGGTTTTTTACCGTGGTCCTGGATTTTCCTACTTGATGGAAGTTGCTGGTTTTGTCATTGACATCAAGCAGCTGCATACCTGCACTGGCCCATGGGCTCCTGTATATGCGGGCATAATTCCTGCACATAAACCAAAGATAATTTCTGGAACAATTTACACTTGTGAGGGACTGTTAAAGCCCCGAGAGTTGAATAATGTAATACAAATCTAAGAGAAGAATGAAAGAAGTGGTGTTGGTGGCATCTCAGTCCCATAATGGTGAACTGTAGTTCTGCAGCAATAGCACTTACTTGAATCTGTGTTCCTCTTCGTGTAGCACTGTCCTACAATATTCAGGAGAATATTCCGGGGTTTGCCCATTTTCTGCTTTATTAATATGACATGCTGTTGCAAAATGAGGAATAGGGGGAAGGATACTTTCCAACCTAAAACTATGTGCTAAAGGTAAGCAGACTCCAAAATGCTCTTAAAAATGTCAAAATGCTGGGAAATATTTCATCACTCTGTCGTTTCCTTTGTGCTTAGCTAAACAGCGGCAAGGAGGAGGATGCATGTTTAATAACATTCCACTGAAGTCCTTTCTATGGGAACCACTTTGGAAATTTTCTGAAAAAAAACAAGCCTGTAGCAGATAGTCTGTTAGGTTTATAGCTTCAATCATTTTT